CCGGGGGGAACAGTGGGGGCGCAGCGGGAGCAGAGTGAGGGCGTGGCCGGAGCAGAGTGGGGGCGGCCGGAGCAGAGTGAGGGCAGGCCGGGCGTGGGAAGCGCTTGGCCTCCTCTCCAAGGGTTGCTGTGCTGGGAGTGCTCCAGGTCCACAGGGTCTGTGTTGACAGCGGAGTGGGGGGCTAGGGGGTGATGGTGGCAGCAGGAAGAGTCAGATTCTGGATGTGTGTTGAAGGGGAGTCAAAGGAGATTTGAGGCCTTTGGCCTGAGCATGGCGGGAAGGTCACTCCTGGAACCCCATTTTGGATACATGAAGACTGAGGTGCCCCCTCAGACGTGGTGTGGGCGTCTCAGCAATTTAGGGGAAGGGTGCAGATGGGGACTTGAGGATCGTCGGGCATTGGCAGGCAGGCGACGCCAGGCTGGCCACGGCAGGGACTGGCTCCCCAGCTCCTTCAACCCTACGCGGTCAGGATATGGTCCCTGTTTTAGACTGGGAAACTGAGGCTCAGGGAGGTCATGCAGCCTGAGCAGAGCGCAAACCTTGAACCCAGACCTTTCTGGGCCCGAGCGGGTTTCTGGCCTCCTTCCTGGCAGAGAAGGAGGAAAGGGTGTCCCCCAGCCCACCCATGCTGAGCATTCCCCCAGGCCTTCCACGTGGCTGAGGAGAAGCTGGGCATCCCAGCCCTGCTGGACGCTGAGGACATGGTGGCCCTGAAGGTGCCAGACCGGCTGAGCATCCTGACCTATGTGTCCCAGTACTATAACTACTTCCACGGACGCTCCCCCAGTGAGTCTCTGCATGGCCTTTGCACGGCCTGCCCTCTCGGGCCTCCGCGACGCCCCCCACCAGCTCAATAGCGGTTTTTAGTGCTGCCCGGCAGGGCAGGAAGCAGGCAGGAAGGCCCTTCTGGTGCCACATGTGCAGGGCTCCCTGAGCTGTGGCCTCCTCCCCGGGGTAGCAGACCCCCCCCATGCTGCTGCAAGTGGTGAGCACGGGTCCAGACCCCATGAGGCCCCCCACCGGTCCACTGAACGGATGCCCCCAGATTTTGCCTCTCCTTTACACTCTTGGCCTCAGTTTGCCCATCTGCACCCCTCGAGCCTGTGCCCACAACTCTTGCCTCAGGCAGTTTTGCAGACCCCGTGTGGGCTCCCTGGCCTGGCTCCAGAGAGGGCCCCCCGTTTGGTCCTGACATTTGGCCTTACAGACACCAGGCTGGCCCTAGCAGGGTGGGGCCTCCAGGCAGGGCAGGTGGGTGGAGGACAGGCCCAAGGGACTTTATTCTGGCTGCTTTGTGCACCCCGAAGCTCAGCCACTTCCCCTCCCCCCCACATTCCTCATCCAGGCCTTAGAAATCCCCGGAATCACTCTGGGCACAGGACCAGCCCCGCCTTGATATTTCCACTTTGTGGAGAAACAGAAAAGTTCCACTTCCCTGACCCCACATCGAGGCTCTCAGAGCCGGAGGGGAGGGGTATGTGTGAGGTCAGGCCCCTGCTGGGAATGTGCGCCTGTGGTCGCTCCCGGCGGCCCCTCCTGTGTCCCCAGACAGCGGGAGCCGCCCCTCCCTCCTGCGGGGGACCCCGGCCAGGGGTGGCCCCAGATGCTTTCAGAGCCTGACCCCACTTGTCTCATGCCAGTTGGGGGCATGGCTGGTATCAAGAGACCCCCGTCAGACTCCGACGAGGAACCGTCCGGGAAGAAGGCCCCATCCCAGCTGGCCAGGCCCTCACCCACTCCAGCCCAGCGGCAGCCACTGTCTCCAACCAGCACAAACCCCGCCGTCCAGCGGAAGGACAGGAACTCAGGGGGTCTCCTGCTGAAGACCGTAAGCACCCTAGCCCCGCCTTCCCTCCAGCCTTGGAACCGACTGTGACCTCTGCACCACCTGGGATGGGGGTCCCCTTGGCTCCTGGGCACGACCTCAGCTGCCGCTCATGAGGATTGGCTCCACAGGCTCCTTCAATTCTGCACGGTTCGGATAGGATCCCCATTGTGCAGATAGATAAGGGAGGCCCAGGGAGGTGGTGCAGGCCGAGCAGAGCTGGGACCCTGAACCCAGACCTTTCTGGCCTCCTGCCCCTCCCTTCTGGGTGGGCCAGGAAAGAATCCTGAGTGTGTCCTTCCCGCCTGCCGCCTGTCGGGGGCGTTAGGGTACCCCCACTTTCAGAGGTGGGGGATGGAGACGGGTGATATGCTGGGGTCGGGCGCCCTCTGCTGTTCGAGCGTTGGGAGCTAACCTTGGCCTGGTCTTAGGACTGCTGCCCCTCAGGTGGCCCCAGGAGCGCGGGAATCTGTCCCCGGTGCCCCCAGACCCCCGAGGTCAGGCCCCTGGGCCCTCTCCTGGGGCTGGGCTGCAGACCCTGAACTTGGAGTCCAGCCAGCCTGGGCACGGGCCCTCCTGGCTGCGCCTGGCAGGCTGCTCCCCTCGGGACCTCGGTTTCCTGGTCTTTATGTAAAGTGGGATCTTCTCGCCCGCTGATGGGGCAGCTGTCAGGAGGGAGGCCTGTGGGGGGGCGGGGCTCAGAAATGTCAGCCGGTACCCTTCCCAAGGGCCAGGCCTCCGCGAGCGGCTCCGTCAGCAGCACCTGTGGGGTCTGCGGCAAGCACGTGCACCTCGTGCAGCGACACTTGGCTGACGGGGAGCTCTACCACCGGAGCTGCTTCAGGTGGGGCGTGTGTGTGTGTGCCCATGTGTGCGTGTGCCTGTGTGTGTGCATGCATGTGCACATGCCCGTGCGTGAGTGTGCACCTGTGTGCATGTGCTGACAGGTACAGACACTGGGTGTCTGCGCCCCTAATAAGGTCCTTGTGGAGTCTGTTACTCAAAATGGCTGATGAGCGTGAGGAGAGGTGTTTGTGGAGTGAGTCGACCGCCACACGTGCAGACACAGGGCTGCACGGGTGTGTGTGCCTGGGAGTGTGAGTGAGTGGAGAGCACACACCAGCCTGGAGCGCCCTCACCGGTCTGCCTCTGCCCTGTGCCAGGTGTAAACAATGCTCCAGCACGCTGCACTCTGGGGCCTATAGGCCCACCGGCGAGCCCGGCGTCTTCGTATGTTCCAGCCACCACCCCGAGGCCGCCTCTGCAAGCCCCACGTGGCGGGGCCCGGCCCCCCGACAGCCAGGGGCCGTGCCCTCAGACTCCAAGCTGCCCAGTGCCCCATGGAAGGCCCAGGAGGCAAATGGGCTCCGAGACACAGGGCCAAAAGCCAGGCCAGAGGCCCGGGAGCCAGTGGTGAGCAACTCAGCTGCCAAAGGTGTCCCCACCCCAGCTCATCCTCTGGCCCCTGCCTCCTCCCATGTCCACGCGGGGAGCCCACCCGGGCCCAGGTTCTCGGCAGGCCTCCAGGGTGGCAAAGCCAGCATGCATGTGGACAACAGCTCCCCAGCAGGCTGGTCATCGCTGGCCCGGGACACGGCAGCAGTCAGCCCCCGTCCTGCCCTGAAACCGAGTGCCCCGGACTCTCGCCCGGCCACCCTGCAAGGCCGGGTGACCCCCCAGGCAGCAGCCCCCCAGACCAAGGTCAGTGTGGGCCCAGCGTCTCCAGGCCCAGCAGACACCCCAGACTGGACCCCGTCAGCCTCCAAGATACAGCAGGTCCGGGAGAGGTTCTTCCAGACTCCTGGAGCCGCCCCCAGCCCTGGCCCAGCTGGCAGGGCCCCAGCTCCTGCAGATGCACCTTCTGCGGACAGCAGCAGGGAGCAGGCGCCGAGCTGCCTCCTGAAGGCCCTTCCCAGGCTTGGGGACACCGGTGCCCAGGCGCCTGACAGGTGGGTGGGGGCGTGGGTGGGGTTGGGGCAGCTGAGGAGGCTCCCCAGCCTCAGCTTCCTCATCTGGGAATTGGGAATGAGACGGGACCCAGAGTGCCCGGTGGTCAGCAGGAGGGGACGCCGGTGTCACATAAAGCTGTGGTGGACACACTCTCGGGGGCACAGATGCTGCTCCCTGGAGCCGCTGTGTGGCACACACAGAGGATACCCGTTTTATAGACGGGGAACCAGAGGCTGTGAGAGGTCCCAGTGTCCTCCCGTTTGACCGAGGCGGAGCTCATCGCCGCCCCCCCGCCCCGGTCCTATGTGGCAGTGCCTACCCGCTGTGGTGCCCTCGGCACGCTGGGCTCGGAGCGGGCCCTGAGGGTTGGAGGGTCCCTGCAGCAGTGTGCTGAGGCTGCTGGGACAGAGCACCACACACTGGGGGCTTCACCGACAAAACATTGTTCTCTCCCAGTTCTGGAGGCCAGAAGGCCAAACCCGAGGTGGGCAGGGCCGCACTCCCTCCGAGGGTGCTCGTGGAGGGTCCTTCCCACCGCGTCCAGCTCCTGGTGGCCCCACGTTCCTTGCTTGGGGCCACACCCTCCATCTCAGCTTCCAGGGTCACCTGAATTTCTCTGTGTCTGTGTCCTCTACTCTTCTCTTATAAGGACACCCGTCACTGGACTTAGGGCCACCCTAATCCAGGATGACTTCATCTGTATTTGATTACGTCTGCAAAGACCCTATTTCCAAATAAGGCCATGCTCTGGGCTTCCGAGTGGACGTGAATTTGGGGGGGAGACACCATTCACCATACTACAGTGGCCCATGAGTAAGGAGATAGCACACCAGGCTGGCTGACAATGCTGTGCCCACTGCCTCGGGCAGCCCCTTATTTTGGGGGAGCATTCTGGCTTAGAGCTGCCCCGCCCGGTTGGATCAGCTGGTGGTGCCCCGGGAGAGTGAGCCTGCCCTGCCACTCCAGGCCTGGGGGTGTCCCGGGCACCCGGGGGCTGAGGCTGCATGGCTGTGAGGGCTCTCTGGGGGGGCCCAGCGGGGCGTCTGTCCTGGGGCCGGGAGCTGCTCCTCCTGGTCACCGTGCACCCAGACAGCCAGGAAAAGCGGGAGGGAGAGATTGGTTTCCTAGGGAGCATGGGGCACATGGAGGAGCTACTCTGGCTTGGAGAGGTCCCAGCCCCCTGCCCTGGGCCCTACGAGGAGCCGGCGGCCCTGCTTCCTGCACGCATGTGCGCCCAAGAGGATGCCAGATGGCTGGTGTTGGGCTGCCTGTGTGGAGGCCTCACGCATGTTGCTTAGATGTGGCTAGGCGGGCCCCCGGCTCTGGGTGGGGCTTCCACAGTAAATCCCAGGTGCTTCTGGGCAGGTGGATGGGAGAGGGAGGGGCTATGGGTGTAGCCCCTCCCCACACCCCATGCACGGTGTGTTTTGGGGGCATTTTAATCTCAGCCCACGCCAGAGTTACACGGGAAGGTAAAGTCAGGTGCCATATACACCTGTGCCGGAAGTGGGTGCCCGTGGCCTATCCCCCGGAGGGGCTGTCTGTCTCCCTCAGGAGGGTGGAAGTTAGGAATCAGCTGCCAGGGGAGGCTGAGGGGCTTCTGCCTGGGGGTCATGGCGGGAAGGGCTCCTAGGTCCACCGGTGCCTGATGCCTATGCTCTCACCCATAGGCCCTCCCCTGCTCTGAAATCCCATACCAGAACCGAAGGGCCACAAGCAAGTCCATCAGCCAAGCTGTCACGGGTGGCATCCCCCCAGGCCCTTAGCCTCCCTGCGAGGACTGAGCTGCCAGCCCCCCTGAGAGTGGGCACCACCTCACGGGCATCCACATCGCCCCAGGCAGGCAGGAAGAGCCCGCCTGTATCCTCAGGTGCCAGCGCCAAGCTGAAGCCAGAGGCCCCGCTGGCAAAGGGTGAGAGCTCCCCTGGAGCAGGGGCGGGGTGGGGAGTGGGGCTCAGGGTGCAGGGGGTGGCCGCTCTGCTCCCTGGCCTGTGGTTCTGCAGTGATTTGCCAGTTCCTGCCCGGCTCCCGGGCTCGCCAGCGCTGGGTGCCTGTCCTGTGTCACCTGCGTCACACCACCCCCTGGTCCTCGCTCTCCCCAGTCTGCCTGACTTCAGTTTTGGGGTGGCAGATGTCTCTTGGGGTGGCGCAGCTTTCTGGGCACTGTTTGCCGCCCGCCTGCCCTGCCAGCGCTTCTTGCTGAGGCCCCGTGACCCCGGCCGTCAGTGTCACTGTCTGTGGAGACGATGCCAGGGCACCCGTTACTCCTCTCCTGCTTTGCCCGGGTCGCGGCCGCACCCCCTCTCCCCTGGCATTTTGCGTCCATGGTTCCTGTGTGTCTGTCCTTCCTGCCTGCCCTAACGACGGTACCCCAGGGCTCCTTGTGTCCTGGAGCCCCCCGGGCCTGGGCCCCTCCCGGTGTCCCCTTCGACCGCTTGCTACTGTTTCGTGGTCTCGTGTTCCAGGCACTGTTATGTACACTTTTCGGGGTAACTGTGGAATAGGCTTTTTCTGGGCACCTGGGTGTCTCTTAGGGGTACCCTGGCGTTACTGAGCTGGGCTCAGAGAATACCCCATGCAGAGTGTTTTACCAAGATCTTTCCCTTGGCTGAGCCCCTGACACGAAAGCCACTCTGTTCTGAGCCAAGGAGGCCTGCAGACGGGCTGCCCTGGCTTAGCCATCCATCCCACAGACGCACAGGCATTCAGCATCCACGGCGCTCACCTGGCCTCACCCTCACCCGTTTGGCAGCAGGGGAAGTTGAGGCCCAGAGAGGGGAGCAATTGCCCCGGGCACACACAGCGCAGGCTTTAAGTCCTCAGCCCGACCCCCAGCCTGACTCTTTCCCGTGGGCCGGGCTGGCTGTGCAGGTATTTGAGAGGAGCTGGCTGCAGGAAGTTGGGGTGGGGGTGGGTGAGATCCAGTCTTTCCCAGCAGACCCCTCCACCTGGAACACTCCCCTCCATGACCTGTGTCCCTGCCCCCGCCTAGGTGCGATTGCCAGCCCCCAGGAAGGCCAGGAGGACGGGCCAGCAGGATGGAGGGCCCGCCTGAAGCCCGTGGAGAAGAAAAGCCCTGCTGAGAGGTGAGGGGAGGGGAGATGGGGCTCTGGGGGGGGCTCCCCTGAACCTGCACCTGGGCCTGTGGCTTTGTGCTCATGGAGTCTGAGGGTTGGCATAGGGTCAGGCATACAGTAGGTGCTCACCAGATGCTTGCAGGTAAATAATGGCACACACATGGACTGACTGACACACCCACGGGAGGGATGTGTGCACATCTGCTCGGACCTTTCAGCAGTAGTGGCAGAAACCAGTTCGCACCAACCTGAGTGATGGGGGGCAGTCACACCACCTGAGTCACTGGGGGGGCAGTCACACCGGCCTGAGTCACTGGGGGGACGGTCACACCGGCCTGAGTCACTGGGGGGGACAGTCACACCGCCCTGAGTGACGGGAGGGACAATCACACTGGCCGCCCTGTGTGCACCGTAGCAGTGCGTGGCCTGGGGCGGGCAGCAGACTCGGGTCCTGCACCAGCTGTGAGGACCTGAGCTGGTGCTCACACCCACAGAGGTGAGCACTTGCGGGAACACACACCTGTGCTCTAGTAGGGTCACCACCGGTCAGGCACCATGAGCTCCTTCCCTGCCTCAGGTTGTCTGCACCTGGGTGTGGGGGCAGCCCATCCTTCCCTCGGCTGACCTCCCGCCCTCTGTCTAGGTCAGAGCCTCGGATGGGTGAGGCACCTGGGAGGGTCCGTGGGAGCTCCGAGGGGCCCGTCCGCGTCCCCCCGACCCCTCTTCAGCCTGACAGGACAGCGGGCACAGCTAGCCCTGGGCCCAGCCCCTCAGGTAATGCCGGGTGGGCACCCGAGGGCTCCAGATGCCTGGCCCCGGGAATGCGGCCCAGTGGCGCTGGAGGGGCTGGAGTCCGGGGTGGCAGCCTGGGCGTGAGTGTGTGTGCACGTGTGTGCCTTATGCTTGCATGTGCATGTGAGCGTGGCTGTTTCCAGCACACTCTGCCACCCCCGGACCCATGTCCGGCCCTCACGTCACTTCCCGCGTGGCCTTGAGCCGTTCTCCGGCCCACTGGACTCGTTTGCCCCTGTGTTGTCGAGGATGCAGACACTGGCCTTCCTGGGTGGACGTGGGCACGGGGCTGGGAGGACTGACCCTGTGCTGGCCGGTGGCCCCCGCTCGGGGAAGCAGTTGAGGGGAGGACACCAGATCTGCCAGCTTGACATGTGGCCCTCTCCCCTGCCCTCGGGCAGCCGCCTCCCCCTCCCCGTCCCCATCCCACCGCAGGAAGCTGGCCGTCTCTGCCAGCCTGGACGTTTCTGCCAACTGGCTTCGTTCTGAGCCCTCGGGGCAGGAAGTCCCAGCCCAGAGCTGGAAGAAAGAGGAGAAAGGGAAGCTCTCTGCTCCGGACAAACCAGGTCAGCCCCGAGACCCCAGGCCCCATTTCTAGCTGGGCTGGAGACGAAGGGGCTCATCTGAGGAGGGGGCGTCTGGTGGGGTTTGCAGGGGGATGAGGAGCTTACGGGGCTCAGAGTGGAGGGAAGCCATGCAGGGGAGCACCCACGGGCGGCCAGGCTTGGCTTGGGGTGGGGTGGGGGGGCCTGGAGGACCCCGTCCCAGAACCCTTGCCCACCAGTAGGGAAGGGAGGACCAGACAGGGTTCCCTGCCCCTATCTACCTGGTGATGGTGGAGCGTTTGCTCTTGGGGTGCCTGGGCTGCTGACCTGGGGGGCATGGAGGCCGGTGGGGATGGTGCCTGGATCTGTCTGTAAGCTTTGGCCTTGGGCACCAGCAGGGCACAGCTGGGGGGGACAGGGCTGCCGGAGAGGCGGGGTGGGGTCGGCGCAGCTTTGGGGTCGGCGCAGCTTTGGCAGCTTTGGGCCCCCAGGCCCAGGAGACTTGTCTTGCCCTCAGCAGGGAGGCCCTTGGCCTCGGCTGGTGTCCCTGCTCCACCCGGCAAGGCAGTGACCAACCGTGCCAGGGTGAGTAGGCCAGGGCGCAGGTGGGCCAGGAGCACAGCCCTCCAGGGCATGGCCCGGCATCTCCCATGGCCCCTCACCGGCCCTTTGTCCCCAGCTGCACCCTGACTACATGCCCCCGGAAGAGATCCAGAGGCACATGGAGAACATCGAGAGCCAGCTGGACGCCCTGGAGCTCAGGGGCGTGGAGCTGGAGAAGCGTCTTCGTGCCGCCGAGGGGGGTGAGCCGACGCCCTGCCCAGTGCCCCGGCCCGGCCTCAGCCAGGTTCCCCCTGGGGCCACCCTGGCCTGACCCATCCCGGCGCCCCCTCTCTGCAGATGCCTCTGAGGACGCCCTCATGGTGGACTGGTTCCAGCTCATCCACGAGAAGCAGCTACTGCTGCGGCAGGAGTTGGAGCTGATGTACAAGTGAGGGGTCCAGCCGCTCCACCTCTGCCCGGAGGGTCCTCTCCTGGACGGCCGCCTCCTCTCGGCGCCCGCCGGGCTCAGGCATGGGGGCGGCCAGCCAGGCGAGCCGGGCCTCACGCCTGCGTCACCTCGGCAGGGCCAGGGACCAGCGCCTGGTGGAGCAGCAGTTGGACCTGGATGGGGAGCTGCGTCAGCTGATGGCCAAGCCCAGTGCGTCCTGCCCACCCGGGGGGAACCGTGGCTGGGGGAGGGGGGCGCTCAGCCCCGGGGGTGATGTGGGTGCGGGCTCTCCTCCCAGCAGCCGCCTGGGCGGCCACCCTCAGGAGAGGCTGACGGTTGCCCAGGGTCGAGTCTCAGCGTCTCCCCTCCAGGCTGTGTGTCCTTGGCCAGGGCACTCAGCCTCTCTGTGCTTGCAGAGTGGGGACTGTGCAGGCCTGACCAGCACAGCCTGTGGGTGTTGTGGATGGTGGGGCTGAGGGCCTGGCAGTCCCATCTCTACCTTTTTGCTGTGCGACGGGGCAGTGGCGCTCGGAGTCTGATCTGGCCGTTCTTCCACTCATTCATTCATTCATTCATTCATTCGTTCACCTACCCGTCCACCCGTCCACCTGTCCATCCGTCCATCCAGCGTTGGCAGATGGGCAGACCCTGTCCCCACTGCCCCCCACTGCCCCCAAGACCCTTCCCCCACCTCCGGGGGAGGAGGCCGACCCTTGGGGGGTGGGGACACTGTGTCCCTGAGCAGGGTGGGGCAGCAGGGCTGCCACTGAAGACGGGCTGTCCCTGCAGAGGGTCTGAAGTCCCTCCAGGACCAGCAGCGCGAGGAGGATCTGCTGCGCCAGTACATCAGCACGGTGGAGGACCGGAGCAACATCGTGGACGTCCTGGAGGAGGACCGGCTCAGGTGAGGGCGGCTCCTTGGGGCCCAGGTGGGGGCGTGCCAGAACCCCAGCTCCCCCCTGCCGGGCCTTAGCTGGTCACCTCATGCGCAGAGCCTCTCCCTGCCATCAGCACAGAGGAGCAAGAACCACCCCCCGCCAGTGCATTCTGCGGGGGGGCCCTGAGGCCGAGGGCAGACCCAGCCAGGCAGCCTGTCTTAGAGGGTGTCCCCGACAAAGCCCCTCGACCCCGTGTTCCCTGACCCATCAGCGGTCAGTACCTGCTGCTGGAACATTCTGTAATGCAAGTGGCTCACTGTGAGCCGTGCAACAGGGGAACGGAACTTTAGATTTTATTTTTCCTTAAATACCCCAAGCCACCTGTGTCTCCTGGAGCTGCACTGGGCTGCCGGCTTTGTGACCATCCCCGGGGGCGTCCCTGTCCCCATGTGTAAATGAGGGACCCGGCAAGGCCACAGAGTCTGTGGCCAAGTTTGCTGAACGGGTTAAGTGAGCTGAGGGAGCCCTGGTCCAGGCCCTCCCAGGGCCCTCGTGTCCCCGTGCCACCGAGGAGGGTCCAGGCCCGGAGAGGGCAGGCACTGCCTTGGTGTCAGATGGGCTGGGGGCTCGGGTATGAGTCCCCGCAGGCAGGCCGCTCACTGCCGCCCGGCTCCTGTTCCAGAGAGCAAGAGGAGGACGAGATGCTGCAGAACATGATCCAGAGTCTGGGTAATGGGGGGCCGGGGCAGAGGTGGGAGGGGTGGGGGCCAGGACCCGTAGGGCAGATGCAGCCTGAGGACAGGAAGGCTCACGCCAAGGGGGCAAGCTTCTCGTCATTTGGTGGGGCCAAGAGGCAGCCCCTGACCATGTGGTCAGGATGAGGGGGGTGCCCGGGCCGGCGGGTGCCCTAATGGCAGGCACCGAGGCGGTTCCCACGAGGGAGGGCAGAGGGTCAGGGCTGCTGTCGGGACCCGGTTTCTTCCAGGCTCTGGGGGCCCAGGGAGGGCTTCGACGGGAGGGCAGGAGGGATATACGTGGCCGGGGCAGTGGCTGAGAGGTGGCGAGTGTCCTCAGTGTCCACCCCCCACCCCCAGACCTCCAGAAAAGCAGCGGGGACCAGAAGAAGAAGTCCAAGTTCAGCTTGTCCAGGGTCTGGTCCCTGAGGAGCAAAAGCAAGACCCCCGAGTGAGCCGCCTGGCCGGTTGCAGGACCCGTGCCCTTGGCTCGGGCAGGGCGGGCGCCGTGGGAGTGGGAACATGGGGGTGGGGACCTGCACCCCTCTCCCCGTGGGGTCTGAGCCACCACAATAAAGAAAGTGACCACGTGATGGCCTGGGCTCCCTCTCCTGCTCACCACGCGCTTCCGGGCGGCCTGGCGCCTGGCCCAGAGGTCTTGGCCAGCTTCCAGTTACGCACCAGTGTGGATGTGCCCGTGGCCTTGAGCAGGCGCTGACCCTCTCTGGACTGGCCCGGACCCTCTGAGATGGGCATTGGAGCTGCTTCCTGGCCTGGCTGCACAACGGGAGCTGGGGACAGGGCGGGTCTGTGCCAGCTGCCCTCGGGAGCTGGCCCCAAGTGGGGATCTCCAAACTTGAGATCTGTGACCTTGGCCTTGGGGCGGAGGTGAGCTGTGCCCTGGGACGGAGGAGGACTCCAAGCCCCGGGCCTGGTGCCAGCAGGGCGTGGGGCTCACCGCCCTTCCCCACCCACGTCTGGTGGAGAGAGGGCACAGTGGGGGCAGCCAAGGCCAAAGGGGAGCAGGCTCCCCGCGCTCACCCTGAGTCCCTGCCCCGCGCTGCCCTCACTCGGGTGCCCTGGGAGAGGAACTTCTCCTGTGGGCCTCAGTGCCCCCGTCTGTGTCTCTGTGCTGTCTCCAGCCACTGTGGGGGCCCATTGTGGCGGTCCTAGTGGACCCTCCCCAGCGGCACAGCACCAACACCCCCTGGCCTGGTGGCAGGTGGGGTCCCTGGCTGAGAATGTTGGGGTTCCCACGGAGCTCCTGCTGCGTTTACAGGGTGCTGGAGGGTCTCAGCCAGGGACTCGGGACTCGGGGTCAGGGTGTGATGTGGGACAGGGAGGGCGGCTGCCTGGTGCAGAGATGGGTTTGTAGTCCCCCCTGTGCTGCCCGGCCCTGTGGCCTTGGGCCAGGGCCCCGCCCTCTCTGAGCCTTTGGTGCGGGACAGAGGGGCTGCGTGTGGTCATGGGAGTGTGTCTAGAGCAGCGGCGGTGGCGGGGGGCGGGGAACTCGAGGCCTCCTGCTGGCCCCGCCCATCACGGCAGGACCGCCCCCCCCCCCCCCGCCCACTGCAGAGGTTGGATTGCCCCGCGGTGGAGGGGTCGGCCCCTGGAGCGGTCAGCGGACAGTGGGCCACGCAGGCTTGGCGTCGTTCCTGGGCACTGGGCGCCATGGGCGCTTCTCAGCAGAGGCCCCAGGGTGAGACCTGCGTGGCGGAGGGCGGCCTGGACAGGTCTGCCCCACCATCCAGCGGAGACCCGGGCGCCCCGCGAGGTCTGCCCAGGCGCGGTCCTGGGCCTGCAGCCGCGTAGGCTCTTCACCACCAGGGGGAGGCAGAGGGCCACCCAATAGGGGTGGGGCGCCGGAGACCTGGAGAAGCTGCGGTTCTCAGACAAGGAAATGGGCTCAGAGGGCCGCGGGACCCCCTGAAGCTACACAGCAAGTTAGGTGGCGCCTGGGCCTGGTCCCTGGGACACGGAGGGACCCAGGCAGGCAGGGGTTCAAGGTCTCTGGGGCGTCTCAGCCCCCTGCCCATGTGAGGGTCTGCACCATGCTCTGGGGGCCCGGGACGTCTGGCCACTCCGTCCCCCACAGCCCCCGCCACACCTCACCCCTGCAACCTCCACTGACCTGGCCCAACTCGCCTCCCTCAGACCCTGCCCTGGGTGGACTCCCCTGGATGCGGGGTGTCGGGCTGTGACAGGTGAGGCTGGCTTGGCTCTTCCCATGGTCGGCACCTCAGCTCCTGCGACCTCCTCCCATTCTAGAGGAGGGGCTAAAGGCCCAGAGAGGGGAATGGTCTTCCCTAGGGTCACACAGCAGGGACAGAGGCAGGAGGAAGAGAGGGCAGGCCTGGGCCAGAGCCAGCAGAGGGAGCCATGGGGGGGGGCACCTAGTTTCTCCACAGAAATGGGAGTGTTAGGTGGCACTCTGTCCCTTTGACAAGAGGGGAAACTGAGTCACGGAGGAGTGCCCACGGTCACATGTCAGGAGTGGCGGGCCCTGGGTTTGGCTGCCCTTGGCCTTGACCTGGGAGGATGCAGGAAGCAGATCAGACTCCCCGGTGGTGCAGGGACCTTGTGTGGCTGGGCCCAGGCGGGAGCCACTGTCACCCCGCAAATGAAATCTCTGTGTGGACCTGCCTTCACACCCGTGTTTCTGGGGGTCCCGGGAAGAAAGGGCAGCGTCCTGGGTCTGAGCTGGGTTCTTCCCACCCACCTGCGTCCCTCCTGTTCCCCCCAACCCGAGCCGGCTGCCCCTTCATCGTGGCCGCGGACAAGGTCCTGGGGCTGGGGGCCGGGTCTGCTCACCCAGCAGCCTGCCTCGCTGGAGCCAGCGCCTCCCTCCCTCCGCCAGGCGCCTCGCTTCCCTCCTAGGACTATGCACGCCGCTGGGCCGGGGGCTCATCAAGACCCCAAAGGGGGTTTCAGGGCATCCCGGAGCCCCAGGTACCCAGAACACTCTGTGGGCCGAGGATGCGAGTTCAGGTCATGTCCCCAGGGCCCAGTAGGCTCCTAACCCACCAGCAGGGCTGGGGCCAGAGGACAGGGGTCTCAGCCCCTCCTCCTCCCAACCGTGCCACAGACCTTGCTCCCTGCGCGCTGCCTCGTGCAGGCTGGGACCTCCCTCCCCTGCCTCCCGGGATCCCCGCCTGCACGCTGGTCCACCTGGGGGTCTCCTTCCAGCCTCCCCCGCTGGGCCCGGGGGTTCCGATTCTGCACTAACGAGGTCTCCCAGGTGGGCCGGAAATGCTGATGAAGACGGATACAGCGAACGTGGCCCATTACATTGTTAATAAAGAATATCACACACACACCTTAATCTGCAGCCGGCCTGACACTTTACAAAGTACATTAGGATGTAATCCAATTGAAGCCGCAATATCGAGAACATCTTATCTTATCACAAATTGAAATTATATCATATTCCTCTTTTCTTAAATTAAAAAGCTAAAACCTTTTCGTTTGCTTTCACACAGTTGTGTAAAACTTAATCAGTGGTTTTAACAACATTATATTTCCATATGGGCCATTTCTATCCTCATTTATTTACGAGGGAGGACTTTCTGGAAGGGGTGATTGCATCTGTGGATGGAGGCATCAGGCGCTGGGGGCCGGCCCTGGTGCCTGCATCCAGGAGGCAGGGAGAGTGGGTTTGGGGGTTCCCAGTGTCCTGGGGCGCCGGAACAGAGTGCCAGGCCGGGGGCTTCAAACAAGCACACTTGATTGTCTCCCCGTCCCGGGGCCAGAAGCGTGAGTTCAGGGGTCAGGGCCGCGCTCCCTCTGAGGCCTCCATGGGAGGGTCCCTCCTGCCTTGTCCAGCTCCTGGTGGCGATGCTGGGCTGGTGACTGCGTCACCCCAACTTCTGCCTCCATGGCCGCGTGGCCTCCTCCCTGCGTGCATGTCCACGCTCCCCTCTTCTGTGAGGACACCACCCTGCTCCAGCCTGACCTCCCCTTAACTATCACACCTGCAGAGTCCCTGCTTCCGAGTAAGCTCACGTTCATGGGGACCAGGGCTAGGACTTGGATGTGCCTTTGGGGGCACAGTGCACCTCATAATGGACAGCATAATCAGCACACTCGCTGAGGCCAAACACCCGCTCTGTCGGGTGTGGGGCCCACCTGGGCTGAGCCCTTGAGGGGTGAGTTGAAGACACACCCTTGTGATGCGGGGCAGCTGTGGGTGGTGGTGCTGGGAGCCCAGGGGCTGGGCTGTCCCGTGATGAGGGTGGCCGGACCCGAAGCATGCAGGGCTGAGGATCAGCGGTCTGGCCACCCCACAGACCTGTTTCTACTCCATGCTCCACTCCCAGCCCCCACCACATTCCCTTCTCCCTCCTCTTGTTGCACTCCCATCTGCCACTCACTCACTCACTCACTCACAGGGCCCTGGGCGTGCATCCCCACAGACACTGCTGCTTTTCCCTATTTTGTTCACAGGTGCCCCCCTCCCTGAGCCCAGAGAATGAATCATCCTTAGTACAAGCCAATCACCGCCAACCACATCCCTAATATAGGAGGCACCAGGGAGGCATACGCTCTTCTTTGCTGACCATCCTGCCTGCCTGGGATGCATGGTGCTGCAGCAGCCACTTTGTGACCATGAGGGGGAATATGGCTGACTTGCTGAAGAAGGCAGGACAGGAACATGAAGACACCTGGGCCTTTGATGACATCAGTGAGTGACCCACTGAATTAGCCAGTCCTAAAACCTCCTTATCTCTGGATTTCTTGTCTCAAGGCATATGAGTCTCCTAGGGTTGTCATAACAAAGTACCACAAACTTGGGGGCTTAACACAACAGAAACTTATTTGCTCACAGTTCCAGAGGCTAGAAATCTGAATTCAAGGTGTCATCAAACCTGGTTGCTTCTGAGGCTGTGAGGACAAGTGTTTCAGCTTCTCTCCCGGCTTCTGGTGGCCACTGGCAATCCTGGGTGATACTGGGCTTGTGGCCACATCACCCCCCTCTCTGCCTCCGTGGGCACGTGGCCTTCCCCTGCATGCATGTCTGTGTCCAAATGACCCCTTTTCAGAAGGACACCAGGCACACTGGGTTAGGACCCACCCTAATGACCTTATCTCAACTTGATCAAAGACCCTATTTCCAAATACAGGGTTCTGGGCACTCTGAGGTTCTGAGTGGACTCGATGTTTTGGGGGGCAGCATTCAATCCGCTACATAGGGGGTAACAATCCCTTTTGTGCTTAAACTTTTTCTCAGGTTTTCTGGTATGTGTGGATGAAAGGTCCTAGCTTATATGGAATTTGGTTCCAGGACTAGGGGTGTGATAATTTACGGAACCATGGCTGGGCACTGGGCAGTGGGACCGCACCCTTCGGGCTGGGAAGCAGATCACTGGTTGGCACCCATATCAAAGGAGACCCAGCTGACCCCGAGAGGCCCGGGGTCCCAGACCACAACTCAGCAAGGTTGGGAACACGGTAGGAA